AGCCTCGTTCAGAGAGCTCTAGGGTTGTGTCCGAGGAGCCTCATTCAACTCGGATCGACATTGAGAAAGAGAAGTTTAGAGAGCATGCATGTCGAGTAGCCTCGTTTGACTCGGGCCTACCACTGAACCTCTCTCGACGCCTTATTAACATAGGACCATGTCACGCTTCGTCGAGTCGACTGCACCTATTCATAAAATATTGATGACTTAATCTTATCATGTATGACAAACTTCACTATAAGGTCATTGTACAGACCCCCAATTAAAATATTCATTAGGCTTGCTAGACTAATGATATCCGTAATAATCTTGATTTTGACCATGTTGATAAAACACCCCTAATCACCATGTTGTTTTCCCTACAACAACAATAAAATATTGGAAATCATTTATATGAAATTGTTAAAATCATTGTACTAAAATAATTGTAATTTCTGGAGTAGAATATTTTTAAGCAGTTTTATGAAATAGTTAAATTGATCTTTTTTAGTAGTGCAAAACACTTTTTTGAAATAATTTAAATATCTGGAATAATGAAATATTTGATATCACTTTCTGAAGTAAAAATAATAATTCATGAATACACATGCATTTGTGTATCTTTGCATTGATAGGTAGAAAAGGTACAACAAATGGAGGGGGCATTACTACTCGGCGTGAACAATGAACTGCGCGGCTATTACCATGAGCAGAACAGAGCAAATGGGTTGCTCAGCCCCGAAACGAAGGGAAAACCAAGGAAAGAATCAAAAACTATGAATAGTTAAAGTAGTGAAAAATAACTTTGCTGAAATAAGTAGAATCACTTCTCCGAAATAATAAAAAAACTCTGGGATAATGAAACATTGGCAGCATTTGGATGCTGTCAAGAAATGTTTATTTATTACGTTTATTTATATTACCGATATATGAATACAGAAATCCAAATTACATATACAGAATATATAGATGATCCCAGAATACACAGGGAGGCAGAGCTGTAAGTAGGAGCATCGTCTGAAAAAATGTTTTTGCGCGTCGATCAAGAATCTAGCAAGTGAGGTTGTTCCCCGGGTCGACCCCGAACTGCTTGCAGTACTCCACGTAGTAGTTCGCCCGCGCGTTCATCGCCGGCGCGTTCCCGCCGTTGCACTCGCCACTGTTGATTTTCCTGGTGGTCTCGCCGAACCCCTGCGGCACGACCTGATGCACGTTGGTCATCCAGAACCAGAACGCCGCCTGGAACGTCAACGCCGGGTCCTGCGCCACCTTCTCCGGGTTGTCGAGCCCGTTGAAGCCGAGCTTCTGCCCCGCCGCCCCGTAGTTGTAGTTCCACGTCAGCTGCAGCGGCCCGCGCCCGTAGTACGCCCTCCCCGAGGTACACGGCCACAGCGGGTAATTCGTGTCGCAGTAGTTCTGGCTCGCCCCGTCCTTCTCCTCGATGTAGCACATGTCTGTACACAAGTAACAAGTTACATCGACAGCTTAATTATGGAGAGCTAATGAAAGCTTAAACTCGTCTAGTGTTGGTATATGAGTGCTTTCGTTTAGCTTACATCCAGTCTCGTGGGTGAAATGGGCGAAGAAGGCGGCTATCTCCCTCTTGCCGTCGTCGCTGGTGCCGCCTTCCCCGAAGTCGGGGTTCGCCTGGGCGCCGTCCAGGAAAAACTGGCGCGTGTAAAAGCTCTTGCCGGGGCACCCGTCGGCGGCGGCCCGGGACTTGATCCCGTCGAAGAACGCGTCGGTGACGACGCTCTCCACGGGATCGCCGCCTGCCAGTCCGGCGCCAGATAGGACTACTGCTGCTAGCCCGAGAGCCAGGATCGCCATGGGCGACTTCGCCATGTCGAATCAACAATCAAGGTTTGCTTGTTGAGGCCCTAGTAGCTGCTTGCTTACGATGTGACTGTGCATGGCAAGGCGCGGTGGCAAGCGGTTTATATAGACACAGCAAGTTTGATCTTGCGGACGACTATGGCGTCAAGGTTGGGCTAGATCAGACCGACCGTCGGTCACAGATTCACACGGCTCGTCGACTATAAAGACTTTTCTTTGCAGGGGTCATGTTTCAAAGCTTAGTCTGATGCGTAAACTGCACGCCCTTGCACTTGCTGTCTCGCTGTACGAGAGTTCGGCAGCTCAAGACCAAATGCTCGTCGTGTCGATCGGGGAATCAATCCCAGCCCCGGCGTGCTGCTCCCTCCAAAGTTCGATCTTTTTTCCACGTCGGTGCTTGGTAGCTAGTGCCGTTACCCTTCTGGTACGTGTACTGTGCTCGCTGCTCAGTGGTCATTTCTTCTCTCTGTGCGGCCAGGAGTGAGTTACGCATGCAATATCCGGGTTCAGGGAAGCTTCACAGAAAGCGCGAATTTATTGGTACCCAGCAAGGCAGCAGAAAACAGCTTGATCAGTCTAGAAAGGAAGACTCTTCATGGTCAGTCCACTGCGGAAATGCTGGCTCATTCAACGGCTAAAGTAGGCGCCTATTGATGTCAAAGATTGGTAAGAGCATCTGCCACCCTATTTGCAAATCATCACATTCGTACGATTACATGCAACGTAAAACTATAATTTTCGCCAGGACGGTCCTCGTTGTTCCGGCTGTGTCCATGTATGGCGGCCGGCTGCGCCCATCGGATTGGAGGTGCGGTCTTTGGAAAGGTAGAGTAGGTACTCGGGGCGCCAAAGTCTTTCATGCCCTATTCTTTCTCATCGAAGCCCTGAGACTGCAGGTCGCTAGTGGATGTAAGATTGATGATGGATCTGATCCGTTATGGACGGAGGCTGACACGTCCACCACGACGGGACTGCAGAGCCATGGTCGCCGATCACCCGTTGCGGCACCGGAGAGTGCGAGTCTGCCTCGCCGACGTCTGGCGGGAGGGTTGTCACGACCTCCCGCGCCTGCTAGCATTGTGCCATATTTGTGTCGGCATGAAGTGGTTGTGCACCTTCGCCTCGGTGCGCTAACGAAGCGGTTGCGTATCCGCCATGGCGCTCGTACGCCAAATGGACCGCACCACCTTAGGCGAGGCAGCGGCGACACTCCTCGCGCCGGAACCATGCGCCATTTGCGTGGACACAATGGATTCTCCCGAATGGAGTTCGATCATTGTAAGCATACTCCTCCCAGGAGCGACAGAGTGCGATGCGGGCAACCATCTCCTCGCG